TAGTACCTTAAAAGTGCCAATGAAAAAGTGTTATTCGTTTTTTGATATCTTTTCAAATAAAGTCAAAAAAAAATAAAATTGATATTGTCAAATTCTCGTTTTTCCCAAATATCTCAGCAGGCCATGAAAATTCTTCAAGTTTCTAAACGGCATGTAAATAAGCTTTAAAGAACACAACTTTTTCCGAATTTAACCTAAGCTGTATCTCCAACAGGTACTGAGATTCCCATGCTTAGGATCCTTATCTTGGACACACTGTATATTCATTTCAAGGCATATAGTAATACAGTAGCCAAACAGTGTTGAAGTATATATATGCCCCCAGATTTATTTTTACAATGTATCATTCATCTAGACACAGATTTTTTCTCTTCTTCTCTCTCTTGTTAGGAATCAGACGTTAAAAGGTAACACCTCGTTAATCCTTAGCTCGTACAAGTTTCGACTTCTGAGGGTTGTCGTTCGTAGGGGTGCCACAGCTGGTTAACGGAAAAACAGATTTTGAAACAGATTTTTTCACAAGGGTAAGAATTTATTATACTTTGAAATTGCCAATAGAAATTTGAAAACAAATGTTAGAAAAAAATCAAAGACTCATCATTCTGAAACACCTTTAAAATATATTAGCATAAGTTTTTGAACATCGACATATAATCTTCGTCCCTGCAGTCAACACACGCACCACTGATGATGGCTGATGCAGTAGGAGACGAAACGTTCCGTACATTAGATTTCATTCGAGCACGGCACATAAGCCCGGATTATGTTTTTTCAATGAATGATTTTTCTGTTCACAGAATGATAGATCATGGCTAACTTTTATAGACATGATTGTAATGGCGGATAACAACCCAAATGTTTTCACAGTGTGGTTCACTGGAAAACTGGTTCCAGCAATAGAATTCCTTTCCGATGAATTGATAATAAAGGGAATCAATTTCACTTTAAACAAATTTTTAGGACACTTGTACAATATTGGAGAGCCAGACAAAATACTACGGTGAGCTGATCTATTGTTTTATGAAACTCATTATCGGTTGAATATAATATTTATACAAGCGCTTGTGAAGGTTGAAATGAGTTATTTTTTTTCATATTCTTCAAAAATTCTCAGGCAGACAATAAATTGCCTGAATAATACAACAATCTGGAAGAGTTCATACAGGCTGATTCACGCTGGATGGCACATTAGGCGTTTCTGGTGAACCAGACAACGGATCACTTTGAAAATTTAATGGAGGGCATATTCGGACATTCTCTAGCCAACTAAAATATTCTAGACAATGCGGTGTTGCCGCTTCTATTAGAAAGCAGTAGCAACTTTGATTTTTCAAATGGAACACTCTGTATATAATATAATTTTTGGAATCTCCAACAATTGCCCGACAACTTTTCTTGATATTTCCCTATACCTATCTGTTACCGTTTTCGAAATAAAAATTAATTTCAATTTTTTTCTTCGAAAATCATGACTTCTAAAAATGCCGATATCTTTTAGTTAAGAAGTACTATGATATCGAAATTTGGTTTGGAGTTAGGTGATACTTGGACACTTCCCACACGTCAGCCTAATCTCCGTTACTTCAATACAGGGTGGTAAAAAAATAC